GAACCGATCGATCTGTATGTCCACCGGTTCTACCGATGAACTGATGGCTAACAATAAATGAGTAAATCCTTGGTTTAGTAGTAGAGAGAGAGAGATTCATACTTAAAGAATATGGCTGAACCAGAAGCAGACAATATGAGCAAACCATTGATCGAAACCAACCGAATATTCTTAATTATATGAACAGATTGTATATAAATATATTTGGGTTTGTTATCGAAAAAGTGATGATTATTATCCGCGGAATTATTCTTTGACGACTGATTTGGTGATGAATTATTGGGAATGATTTGTATCGACAGCAACGACAACACCAGTGAGACAATCATTGGCAACAAAACGAGGCTATAATGTCTCAACAGTTGTCCCATCATTTCGGCCAAAGAGGTCTTAATATGCAATTTATAACTACAGTTGGGATCGACGAGTAAGTAGAGCGTCGGCTCCAGCGACGGATCAAATGTCTTTGGTTTCGGGGAATTGAGTTTGAATGTCAAGCGCGCGGTTGAGCCGCGTTTGGGGTAAACGTATTGGTGTTGGTTCTCGCGATTCCAGGGAATCGTTAAGTAGAGGTAACCCATGTTGACAGCCGTCGGGTAACACGATATGGTCTCCATTTGGACGGAATAAGCAGACCATACGTGTCGGAGTCCGGCGAGTGTCACGTTGTAGAACGTGGTCTCTTCGCTCACCGCGATGTCCATCACTGTAGACCACGCGAAGAACCGGACGATACTCTGCCACAGGGCTGGCAGTTGTATGGTTCGGCTCCGGATGCTTGTGGTGAACCGATCGATCTGTATGTCCACCGGTTCTACCGATGAACTGATGGCTAACAATAAATGAGTAAATCCTTGGTTTAGTAGTAGAGACGAGAGGCCAGTGAACAGACGGCGCTCAACATCTTTGGGCTTCGATGGCAAACGCCGTACGTATTGGTGTAGAGACCGGCCCTTATCACTGAATACACAGACAATTGTTTTATATATTTATATTTCAGTTAACATATCGTGTATTTTCATTACCAAAGCGTAACATTATTTTTCTTAACGGCAGAGCAGGCCATCACCCAATCGTGCCTATAATGGCCTTCAAACTGTATGACAATACTTTCTCTTCGCATTAATGGCAGTAAAATATAATTTGGTTGTAAGACCTGTCGGTTAAACGCGACAAACAAAACAATTATTACCATTAGTTTAACCATAATTTAAATTCAGTAAAAATAACCTTTGGTTTTGTAAATTTAATAATCCGTTCGTAGTTTTCGGTCCATTCGCCGGTCGGCGCGAGTGTTATGTATTCGGGAATTACAAATCCGGGAAAATTCTTCCCTAACGTCCTCTCCATGAAGTGATATCTAATGATCCGATTTCTGTCCGCAATGTTGTCCACGAGTTTCAGCGACTTCTTGTCGGTTAAGTCGAAGAGAAGTCTCGTTATCTTAAGTGTTAATTGTTTGCACCAAACGATACACAAGTGATCGGTTGAGACCCAAACCTATGACCAGAAAAAAACCGATACTTTATAAGTGAATTGTGATTAGTATTACTGAAGACAACTCACGTCATCGATGGCTGTGGACACGACAGTCAGATCGTTCGGGTGATCGTCATTGAGTTTTGTGAGATGCGAACGAACCAACTTATCATTGAATCCGCCGCCGATTGATATCACATTCATGTGACCAAAATTGTCCCGATTTGTGGCCCAATATTCTTCCACATCGTTGTAAAACGATGTCATTCGCGAGTCAATGGGAACAACTATAAGCACGGCATACATTATGGTAACAATTAGAGGGATTAGTTGAATGAATAACCTGGAGATTTATGAGGTGTGGCCAGAGTTATGACCAAATCTACGCGATGGACGTACGGATCAAATTCGGGTAATGATAGCAATGATCTAATTATGAGTCCACCCTATGTTTTAACAGAATGTCAACAGATTTATACTTTATATCAACAATTAATGGTTATAACCATGAGTGCTTAAAATTTACACGATGGTGTAAATCCTATGGTGATGCGTAATGTATAACTGTAAGTTTAAGCACTCTTGGTTATAACAATTATAATTGACATACAATTGAGTGTCCAATGAGTACAAGCGATACGTTTCTCCCCTTTTTCTCGTATAAATCCATGATTTTTATGAGACTTTCCTTAAGAAATAGTGTCTGACTTTGGAGTTGAAAGCTATTAACTCCGGAGTATTCCTGAAGAACACCACAAAATCACAATTGATTATCGCATGGATTTCAGACACGAATCTAATGCATACCTCATTGAAATCAATGGTAAAATAATTGAAATGAAAAGTTGAGTATTTATCGGACATTCGCAACGCCACCGATCCAAGTGATCGCACCTATGGATCAGATAACATGTGTCAACATATCTGCGGTCGATATACAACACAATTAGATCAATACCTGTTTAAAAGAGCCGCCATTTCCGGGAACAAATACGACGGGAACTCCTTTAAAGTCACCATTACTTCAGACATAATTAACAAATGAAACAAAAATAAAAGTCAGAAACCGATCGACAAATTTAGTTAATAATAAAAATAGCGTTAAAACACATACAGAAGAGTATCGGTGTATTGGCTGCCGAAGAATTGGATAGAAAAATGAGATAATTAGTGGTCAATGAAGTGCTAATTATAGATGAATATATAGCTACCCCTCGCCGTATGCAAAGAGATGATAGTTGGGATACTTGAGAGCAATCTGTTCCCGATGTGGCAATAACTGCAAGAATGGCAAAACATATATTAATTACAGGACATATGTCTTGAGCCGGATCTGCAAACACTGACCACAAACTGCGGGTATTGAAACATGAATGTCATGTCACAGCCATTGGGTTCAGTGATAATCGCGTAATCGATGAGACCGATGATGAAGAGGATGAGAACCGATGACAATAGCGCCGACTTAACGGTCATAAATGCGGTGATGAATGAAGACATTGTACTCGTGGTTACCATTGCATTATCATCGCAGCGACAGTAATCTTATCAGCTCTCGACGCGAGTGTCATGTGATGTCTTGTCTTGCGTGAAGTCATTGGTCTCGTTATCTCGTTATCACTGCATCGCATCCGCATGTCTTCTACCCGGATGTGTGTCTGTCATCGATGGCAACACATTATCACTGCATTGATTGGTGCAGTGAATCCCGGGTCTGAATCCACTGGTGATAATCACTTGTGGTAATCGATGGACAATAAAAGTGATGTTTGTTTTTGGGTTGAGTTGTGTTTACATTGAATACAAGGGCTAAAAGTGATTACATTTTGTGCTCACATTTAGTACGACTGTTATATACAGTCAAACCCCCGGAGATAACGGACTCACAGCCCCGGGCTATGCGGGCATCGGGTGAACGGGTTTTAGTTTACGGTAACCATTGATTATCTCATTGTATTTTTGTACAAATGGACTGACCATCCGATGCTTTCACATATAATTTACAAGTTATCATTCAAAGTGATTTAATTTTACCTTTTTTGTGTAATTTAATGAATTTACTCTCTCTCTCTCTCTCTCTCTCTCTCTCTCTCTGTTAATACAATTTATTGTTTGTTTTATTAGTTATACGTCGAAGAATTCATTGACAGCTGATCTGACAATCAGTCAAACCTTTACTCTCTATACCTTTCTATACGTCATCGCTCTGTCCATCACTTACTTCTTCTTAATCATCATTACAGCGATGTTTATATGCTTTTCAACAGTTTTGGATTATTTTAAGACAAAGTGAGTGTTATTTTATTATATCTAAAGTGTTTTTGACACAGAAGTCAATTTAAGTAATTGCTATCGTGTTTGACATTGAAAATAACTTTTGATTCTTATATTGTATTCAAACAAATTTTAAATATTCAAATTCAGTGAAAAAATAATGTTTTAAACAATTGATTATAAATTACTTGAATTTAATGAATATATGAATTATATTATATAACATTGTTTTTAATCATAAAATGGTTTTTGTTGTATATTTGTAAATATAGACTGATTTCTAGTCAATACCCAACAAATACCGGTCGCAAAGATTCCGTTAAACACGAAAAAGTATTCAAAATAAAACTCATTCCCGCATTGAGTGCCGTTGTGTTGGCAATCATTTGCATCGCGTTTAACAGCGCTTTGGTATGTGTTTTGCGTATAGATTTCAATGCACACCTAAAAATATCCAATCTTTTTGTTTTTTATGTCTGAACGCCTGACAATCAATATCTATATCTAATTAATTATTTTTGTATTATATATTGTCTCTCATATCGTCTTTCATGTCTCTCACAGACTTTTCTCGTGTGTCTAATACTACACAACTAAGTCCATAACAAAACAGTGTGTAACATAAGTAACGGATATTTATTGACTAAAAGTTAAGTACAGTTTTTGATATGCAAAGACAGTGAGCTGAGCGTCAATTAAATGAATTCGTATTTTACAGTTACAATTGAACGCCGTTTGGGTGCGGACTCGACGGCCTCGCAGTGGAACCTTCACCTCACACTTCTGGCACTGCTCTACGCGTCCACAATACCGACCATACCGTTGCTCATGGACTGGATTAACCTCAAGATGCCTGTCCTCTATTTCTATACCGCCCCCACCGCCGACCCGTATCTGATCCCAGCGCTGATGTTAACCATCGCGTGTCCGGTTCTGTGGCACCAGTACTCTGTAATCGATACAAATCNACTTCTGGCACTGCTCTACGCGTCCACAATACCGACCATACCGTTGCTCATGGACTGGATTAACCTCAAGATGCCTGTCCTCTATTTCTATACCGCCCCCACCGCCGACCCGTATCTGATCCCAGCGCTGATGTTAACCATCGCGTGTCCGGTTCTGTGGCACCAGTACTCTGTAATCGATACAAATCTGTGAGCATTTGATTTTTGGATATTATTTTTGGATATAAATTAGTGTTAATTAATAATTATATTGAAATAACTTTTTGTTTCCCTATTTTTCATTAGAAATAAGAGATATATCTTCTCGTATGCGTTGAAAGCGATGGCTATTCTGTCGTCAATTGTATGTCAAATGAATTACTGGAATATATCGCTAATTATATGCGTTTCGGTGTTTGTGGTGAGCGGTCAGCACCTCATGGACTGGTACTCCAATCGACATCTAAAGCGTGATTGAAATTATGGTTTTAATGATTGGAAAACATAAAAAGCAAATTATTTTTCATATATTCTTAATAATTTTATTTAGACTTGTTTTATATTGAGCTTTAAGATACTTGTAATCAATGTATTATTTAACGGTTTATATGTTTTTGTTTAATCATTTAAGTTATTATTTAGGAATTAATTATATTTACTTAAGATTATGTCACAAATTATGTATTATTTATATAACTTTATATTAGGTTTACTTTCTTTTGGAGATTTATTTTATTTTCTGTTATTTTATGCGTTAATCCTAACGTCTTGTTAATCGTTATGTTATTTACAACAACAAAATATTTCATAAAATTTCCATTCCTTTTCATCGGTACTTAAAATCATTAATAAAATACATTTGTTTCTCATTTTATTGATTGAAATGGTTTTGAAACACATTTAGTTAAAACAATTTTGTCTTAAATTGACATTTATTTCAATGTCTGGCATTTAATCTATCATTTGATTATCGGCGACACTCACGAGGAATGGATCTAAAGGTTGTGACTTTTTAAATAATTATTAATGCATTTCTGTTACATTTGAGTATTTCTGAGTGATTTCAAGGGCTTTAATAATATAGATATGAATTCAGATGAAATGCTTGTCTAATGTCTGTGTTTGAGAGTTAGGCTGGAAGTGGGAGAGGAAGTAATGCACAGGTATTACAGCAGAATATTGCGTTAGCACAGAATATTCTGTGTTTTGTGTTAATACCTGTACACTATTTTCACTCTCTCCCACTCTTCCTATGCTTTCATATGGATATAAACATTATCTGAATTCATGTGTTAATAAAAATTAATGATTTATGAATTCGTGAACACAATGTATCGGTACTATTAGTCGACCTCTAATGCAAAGTGTTTTGTTTTGTTATTAATTTTTATATTTTGACATTTATTGTAGAAGTATTTTAATTAAAATATTTCATTTAATTAATTTAGAAATATATTGTCGCTGAAAACCCTAACAATATAATAATAACAACCAAAATGTTATATTATGTAAGACTAGTTGTGTATTACTGTTCAGCACTTGATTTATAATTTATAGGACGAGAGTATAATATAATGTTATATCACTTGAGAATTGATTTTAAATTATTAATTGCTTTTTGTTTATTTTTATTAGCATTTGTTTTATCAAAAAATAGGTTATTATACACTGATTGTAACCATAATAACAATAGTTAAAGTAAATGAGATTGTTTTCAAGGAATTGATGAATATATTAATTTACATGCAATGCTTTGTTAACCGGATATTAATATTCTTGATTATAATAAATAGCATTATTAAAGAATTGTTTTGTTTTTATCACAAGATTTATAGCAAATTTCTAAGGAATCGTAATCTTTATAATAATTATTCTGTAATATATTTTAAATTTTGCAAAATATTGTTTAAATAAGGATTACATTCAAATAATTGGCTTTTGGGTTATAAATAATTTATAAAATAATAAGTATGTCATTAATGTTGAGAAACAAAATTAGAGTAAAACTAAATGATATTTTTTTGGAAATAAGATATACTTTAAACGTAAAACTATTTTAATATTATATCATTTATATGCATAAAAATTAGATTTTAATATAATATTTTAATGTTAAAACTTTGCTTTTATTTTAAACAAAATTGCTTTTTGGAAGTAAATAATTGAATATAACTATATTGTATATTTCCAAGAAATCCAAGAAATATAATCAAAATAAAATGAAAGACTATATGAGTACAAACTGGTGGACAAAATTCATGTCACTATGAAATTGTTTGAAAACATATTTTTGAAACAACAATATTAACATTTTATTTATCAAAAAATTTTCAATTTAATTCAAATCAATTTCCAGAAAACATTTTTACCAATAAAATGTGGACAACTTTTGTATAAACCGTTTGTTATTAAACTTATAATATTATTCATAAAAAAGTTTTTTCTCAAAATATATAATTAAGTTAATTAGGTATAATCTAATTTAACTACTTGTATATGAAAGTTAGTTAATGACAAGTAAAACATTATTACAAAAAACCAATTATTTGAGCGAAAATCAATTTCTATGCAGACGTATAATAAAACATAAAACAACAAAAATATTTTATTAAATCAATGGCTTGTGATGTCTATCAAGAAATCGATACAAAATAAAAATTTCCAAAGAGGAAACGTATGGCTCGTATGAATCGGTAAGTTTGTAACTGAAATAAATTTAACTTTTTATTTTATTTATTCAGCGCTCGGGTGTGGCCGTCATTGGGCGGAACGGCAATGAAAGCTGCTCTACGGCTGGCCTACAGACCCACCACAACACCAGCCCTACCCCTCCATCCCTATCCCCTCATAGACTGCTGGCCTTGACATTGAACGCGACATCAGTATTACTTCGGCGCTGACCTGACGCTACCCATAATAAACACCAATTTCTCTCTCTCTCTCTCTCTCTCTCTCTCTCTCTCTCTGCTATTAATGAATAGATATATGGTTTGCGTGTCACAGATATTAATGTATTTATCGCACAAAATCGTGGATTACATCAAATTCCAGGTCTTTTTATCATTGCATTAATTTTTAAACAAAAATTAATTGACTTTTTTCTGTGATTATCTTTTTTTATATACAGTATTTGAAGCTATTCGCGTTTTTGACATAAAACTAGAAATTGTATCAAATATAATAAAAAGCCTGATGTTATCAGCAAAGTCGATTTATATATGGACTTATTTTTGAAAATTATGGATGGATTTATGGACACAAAAATGCCAAAATATGGACTTATATATGGAGTTTCAAAATTGATTTTATCAATCTAAAATTGATTATCATATCAATTTATAGTAAAAAATTAGTCAAAA